CGCACCGCACCGCTGAACAATGCGTCTTCCGGTGCACGAGTGAAAAATCGCTACATAACGAGACTATCATCTTAACTCTAAGCTTTTGTACATAATAAGTTATGACGTTTTGTTTTTGTATATGTACCTAGATGTTATCGTTGAAAGATAATCATTCTTTTAAATGCTTTTAAAAACACTTTCGCAAACACAGAATAGGTATAATAAATAATATTGCGGTGCAAATAAGGGGTGTGAAGAAGCTCGCCCCGGGGCCTGTAGCAATGTTTGGTTATTGTTTTAAGAGTTGCAAATGTTTAATTAGGCCATATTTTTGTACCCACGTCCCCAGTAGGTAAATCATTGTATGTTATTATTGGTGAATGGCAATAAAAATTATTCTCTCGCGTGTCGTCGTTATATTACGAACACCAGTATTAGATGTATTAGGTATTATAAAAGAGTACTTGAAGAATTTAGTGAGGAGTATATAGTATAATATGAGGGGGCGGTGGATGCGGCCCAGCGGGCGGCCACCACCGCTCCGTGTTGTAGCGTAGCCTCGTAATATTTGTAGCGACAAATTCGTGCAATACTAAACTGAAGCGTATGTAATAAAGTATGTTGCAATATTATTAAGTATACAATGTTCTAGCGACCGCAGAGTTTGTCTTGTCTATTTCGTCAGTGTTACCAGTTCACAGTTCAAAGTTACGACGTGAAATATATCTTTATGTAGCAGATGTTAGTTAAACTATAAATATTCGAATATGACTATTATATAAAATGTATATACGTTACGGTTTTCCTAAAATACTGTACTTATGTGTTTAGCGCAAAAGCCAATTCGTCCCCCCCCCCTTGCGTCCTCCACCGATGTCCAAATGTGTACTGTCACAGTGACGATCTCACGATGTGTAATGAAGGTGACAGCACTGCGTGGCGGGGGATGCGGGGGACGCGGGGGGCCGTTGTGTTTGTCCTGTTGTCGATCATAGCCATATTTACTACAATACATATATTACTTGTACTATTATGCATTATCAAATCTATATGAGCTCAAACTCCTGTTATTTTTAACAAAGTTTTCGGTCTTGCCGCAAAATGTTTCCTCTCGGATATATAATATTAAAAATATAGAGACATTACGATTTGGTGTCTTTAAAATTCAATGATATTCAGTTATAATCCTATAGGATAATATGTATAAATTTCCATAGTTTGTTGTCTGCCTGTGTAGAGGGCCGGAGCAGCGGGTTCGCCTCGGCCAAATATTGTTTTGTTGTTAATAAACACATGTAACGGTGACGCTGGTTTTACTGGACCCCCTTTCCCTCCATTATTCGTCAATATCAGATGAGAATTACTTGTCATGGGCGCTAGCTATGGCTGTTTGCACTAATCAAAAGAAAACTATAAAGTAGGTAAGTAAAGTCGGGGAATTTGGAAGTGTTCAATTCCAAAACTACAGTCGTTTAAACGTTTTGTACACAAACAAAACATTCAAGTCATGAAAATTTTGAAAATGATGAAATAATTGGCTAAGCTTGGTTGTACGAGTAAATGGAATAGTTAGTTATTGCGACGTACATTTGTGTAATGCTTTTTTAGCAACACACCAGCCAAGAGAGTCACCACCAGTCATGACCATTGGTAGTTACTGGAGTATTGAACACTCTGCAGCAGAGATCTCGGTTTTACGTCCTTGTTTCCTCTCTTCTTTTGAACGATACATACTCGTATGAACAAAAACCAAACACAAAGTTGACGTCTGTCTAAGACGGCCCAAGACCGATATCTCGTAGCTAATACTTGCAATGAGAAGTGCTTTGCTTTGATGTTTGCTGCTGTGCTCCGTACTGTTCTTTTCTGTATGGTTCTGATGTAGTAAACACCGACACCGCACCTCTCACCTGTCACCTTATTCGCGTTTCAGTTCGATATTTATAATACTGAGAAGCAATTGAACTATCTGTATGGGATATAATAAAAATGTTACATTTAAGTATTAAGGATACAACTCTGGAAAAATTATATTCAATTAAAATAAAAACCGCGGCAATCTCAACTTCCCTGATCAATAACAGATCTGTTAAAATCAAATAACGAGCCCATTGTTATTTGAATAGTTAAATGAATTGTTTTGTGATAAAAGTGCCCTTTTTCAATAGTGCAGAGGGTGAGTAGAGTTCCAAGGCCGAGTGTAATATGTAGGTTAAGGGAGTACGGAGTTCGTGCAGCGGCAGGCGAGGGCGGGGCGGGGCGCGGCGCATGC